TTTTACACGTTTGGCAAACTGAGTGTGTATTACTGGAAATGTTAAAATTCAGCCACTCAATGAGGACATAGGAAAACATACTTTAGCGGAGCAGAATTGGCGGAATGAAACCATTACCAATCACGAACGTTTCGTAGTTCCGCATCCTATGGAGTACACTCTAAGGGCGGAGGCACACGGGGCTGCGAAACTGCGCAATGCAGAACGGAATGACATCACAAACATTTAACCCAATCTCGGGCGTTCCATAAAATTGTCGTTCTACATGTAGGAATTAGGTGTCACATGGAGCAAAACTTGCGGAAATGTGCAATAAGGAATGAAGACAAGAAAATCATACTTTGTGTGGTCTTAAGAGTATATAATGGAAATATCTATGAATATTTGTTGTAATTAAAACTTATGCTGTTAAAAAACATTCAAATTACATTATCTGCGCAAACACGAATTATATGGATTTGAAAATGGACTTATAAAGAAAAAAAAACCCTGAAATTAGTTGTTACCTGTTCCGTACGGAGAATTTTTTTTCCATGTGACGTAAGGAAACGAATGTCTGCGGAACGGAAAGAGCACGTTTTTCTTCGCTTGCTGAACAGCTTCATTTTTGAACATTTTACAGAACAATGGATTGTTGATTATCACACGGAACAGAAAAACTGCAAATGGCGTTAGCGAAATTGTATTTTGATTGTTGTGTCCGAACGAAGCCATACGCACGCACTTGTAGAGCTCCGCATAAACCTGCAGAAAACGTAAAGGCTCATCTACACGGCAAGGCGTAAAAGCGCAGGCAAAAGCTCAAGCGTAGGCGCAAGAAGTCTGCGTCATGCTCTTCTGTACGGAACATCCGAAACAAGCGCAAGAACGCGTATGAATATTTAAATGTTGGAGTCGTGATATAAATAAATGGTAAAAAATAAACTGCTGTGACTTTTTACATTTGCTAGCAGTGTCAGCTGTTATGTAAAGATAAATTTAATAGCTAATATGGAACCTAATGAGGAAATATATATATATATCTCAAGTTCTTCTGATACGTTGCTCCCCATTGATTAATTATTACTTTCGTCATTATCATTAGGAGACATGGTAATGTCTTAGTAGTAATTTTCCTCATCCATGTTTTCAATGACTCAAACCGTGTAAATAACCGCGACAAAACGAGAACAGTATGCCTAATGTACCTTTATAAAAATTTAGTACTAATATTGGCCAATTAATCACTTATTTTCAGTATTAAAAGTACTGTTGGTAATATTATGAATACTCGAAATACGTGATTAATTAATCCAGTACTAGTATTAAATTTCTATAAGGGTAGGCGCAGGCGTTAGAAATAAAATTAATTTCTCTTGTGCCTGCGGCCTTATGTCGTGTCACTCCTTGTCGTGTAGATGAGCCTTAAAGCACGCAGAACGACAACTGCGGAACGGCCAAGATTGGTTAACTGTTCGTGATGTCATTCCGCTGTTCTGCATTGCGCAGTTCCGCAGCCCCATCCCATGTGCCTCCGCTCTAAGATTTGTTCTTAAGCACTAGTTTCGAAAAGGCATTAGATCTATTCGCGTTGCTTTTTTTGTACTCAGCAACTTTGCTTTCTCTCTTTTTAACGTCCAAACATACATATATCTATCTCATTTAAGTTCAAAAATTTTTGGGGATTTCAAGCAACTCAAACAGATTTAAATAAATAGAGATTCGGGCGTTCAAAAGACAGAAAGCGAAGATGCCGAATGCAAAAAATGCGAGCAACGCGGACAGAACTATTATAAAGTGCGTTCCGAGTTAGCCCGCATCGTCATACAGACAACAGCACTTTGACACAGAGCGCTGATTGATGAAAAGCTGATTGTGGGGATAAAATTTACCTCCATCATCCGTTTTTCACCAATCAGTGTTCGATGTCAAAGCACTGTTGCCCATATCAGGGTCATCAATCTCCTCTCTTGTTCCGAGTGTTACCAGCATTTGTGATGCCCTCATTACTATGGCAATCAGAAATGAGGAACTAATATTCAATATGGCTGTCATCGTTTCCGGTCGGCATCTTTATCGCCATTCACCATATTTGCCACATTCTACGTTTGGCTACGTTGGCTGCGTTCGGCGGACTAAACAGTTGAGTGAGCGCCCGCTAATAATGTATTCTTCCAGATCTAAAAAGCTGATGATCTAAAAGAATACATCAATAACAGCGAACACTCACTCAACTGTTGAATCCGCTGAACGCAGCCACTATTCGCGTTATGGACGCAAATACTATCAACGCTGTTCGTGAGTGGCCTTCATTTGGACACGTTACAATTGGACACGTTGCAAAGGGACACGTTATATTGGACACGTTAATATTGGATACATATTACTTGGACACGTATCATTTGAACACGTATCATTTGGACACGCTTCATGCGTAACTCGGAACGCACCCCATCTCATTAGGCATTGCAACAGCCAACACACATATTTTCATATCGATGAAATTACAAAAAATATTAAATAATATCGAAATAACAAGAAATATTAATTCTATTTCTTTTATATATTTAACATGAATTCTATAGTTTTTTCATGAATTTACGTTAATTTTAGTTTAATTAAAAATATCGTTTTTTTGCCGTAAAAAAAAATTAGTTTTGGTAAATATTAAAAACAACAGATCCAGCTCCAATGACTTCCAACCCTTCTACAATAAGCCGCAAGTCAAAAGTTCTAAACGATCTTAAGTCATAATCGGAAGTTGGCCAATAGCCAACTTGAACGACTTGGTTAAAGACTTCTGACGTTCTGACTTGTGGCTTATTGTAGAAGGCCTATTAGACTTTGACATATATTATCAAAATCACAATGGGAGCTTTCCATCAAGACTTTAAACAACACACAGTGTCTAACATGTTGTTTTCCAGCAACGACTCGCTACGGCACGATTTACACAACCGAAAAGCATAGTCGAACATAGAGTCTGACTCATTCAATTTTTGAATGACGCTCTAGAACATTTTTGTCTTATACACGTGATATTACATAACAATTATTTTGGCCATTTGCATTTTTTATAGATTTTGTATAATATATTTTAATATAATTCTGTTTTTTGTTTAAGGGAGCTTTCCAACAAGAGGCAGAGTGATACAGTGTGACACGGTGAATCGTTGCATCCTTGTTATTCGCCAATGTTAAACAAGGATGAGGTGATCGCTGTATCACATGATGTTGAAAAGTTCCCAATATACACGATGACCCATTTTAATCGGCGGATCCAAATATCTCTTAAAATACGCCAGCTACAAAAAAATGGTTGGGACAAAAATTGTCGAGGACAATGAGGGTCATTTATCTGTGCTAATAATTTTGACCTTCAGGTCGATTTTCAAGGTTATTTGAAGGTCGTCATTTTTTAAAATGGAAACCCCTATTTTTGACACCTGATTCGAAAAGAGCGAGAAATTTTACATTTGAAATGATATTTTAGAATTTTTTTTGGGACTCACGATAATCAAGCACCCCAAACGTGAGAGACAAAGGGACTCACGATAATCAAGCACCCCGAAAGAAACAGAACTTACTACGTCCACGTCGTTTTCGGGTAATGCTAAAAATAAAGACAAGGTCTTTGAATTTTTCGCAGCTTTTCTACTATTTGAAGTACCGCCATACACTTATCATGCATAAAAAGCTCATAAATCTAAGTGCTTTTTAATCATTTAACTTTGATTTGACCTTCTTAAACTCACAATAACAAATTCTAAAATATCATTTCGAACGTAAAATTTCCCGTTCTTTTCGAATCCGGTGTCAAAAATAGGGGTTTTCATTTTTAAAAAATGACCTTGACCTTCAAATAACCTTGAAAATCGACCTGAAGGTCAAAATTATTAGCATAGATAAATGACCCTCATTGTCCTCAATAATTTTTGTCCCAACCGTTTTTTTGTAGCTGGCGTATTTTAGGAGATATTTGGATCCTTCGATTAAAATGGGTCATCGTGTATATCAAGGTCATCGGAGGTGAATCCATTGTTTTCAATATTTGCCCTAATTTTTACTTGATACTTTCCTCCGAAGTAAAAAATACCGTTTTTTTACATCTCTAGTTAGAATGTATATAAATTCACACAATATATATTAAAACATTAAGATCCACTTTGACCGAACACAGGATCTCTCACTTAATTTATTTTCATTGGTCTAAATACATATAATATATTAGAATTCGTAATAATATAGTTTAAATAAATATAATAAGATAATAGTATATTCATTTTTCTTACCTGCAACTGTAAATCCGATTCCGATAATTCGATCTCTGATTGTTCCTCATTGTTGCTAGTTGCATTACTCATAATTTTGTCGGTAATGATTTCGTTAGTCTCCAAACGTGGCAAAGAATTTGCATTTACTGTTATCTCATCTTTGTTTTTGACCGTGTTAGCGTCAACTAAATTTCCATAATCGAATTAATAATTGATTAATTAATTAATAAGTTAATATATAATTATATATAATTAAAAAATTTATCATACCTAAATGTAGTGTTCGTGATTGATCAAGATCTTCAGGATCCTGTGTATGATAGGATACATAAATAATTTGTTGGATTCCATCATTAGATGTCTCATCGGTGGCTATTATTTGATCATTGAATGTCTGTTCGTCTTGTGAGTTCGGCAGAATTTGCCATACCTCGCCGATCGAAGATCCTTCCGATCTTTTCATAGTTAATGTCTTATTCTCCCTGTGTACCTGCAGAAATCGATAATTATTACTGATTAAAAATTTTAAAAATAAAATTGCTATAGTACCTTTTTGTGTTTTGTCAAATTTGAACAGTCGGCAAAAGCTTTACCACACACGTCGCAAGAATAAGGCTTTTCACCTGCAAAAAATTAAATAATTAATATTTTCGAATTATACAAAAACAGAGACATTCATCTATATATTTGTGTTTATTACATCAGTTTATTTTTAAAAAAACATAATTTATTATTTTCGATTACCAGTGTGCAAGCGAAGGTGTTTCTTGAGCGCCCATTGCTCTGTAAACCGGCGGTTGCATTGATTGCACTGGAACGGACGTTCTCCCTTGTGCCGGCGCACGTGACACTTCCATGTATCTTTGTGTAAGAAACTCTTCGAGCAGAACTCGCATTTCCACGGCCGTTCGCCGGTATGCCGTTTTACATGCAATTTGAATTGCGATGACGTGGTAAACTTTCGGCCACAGAAATCACAGCTATATGGTTTTTCGCCAGTGTGAATGCGCATATGTTCCTGTAAATTACCATTCTGCGAGAAACTCTTCTGACATACCGTACAGGTGTATGGTTTTTGACCATTGTGCCATCTAAAACGGTATAATTTTTGAGATAATATATTTATTTTGCGATAGCAACTAATTAAATCTTAATTCAAAGATTTGAATTTAAAAAATTAAATAAAAAGTAGGATGTTATTTAAAAGAACCTAAGAACGCATATATTTATCTCTTTAAATTTTGGAATTTTTATGCATTAAAATAAATATGTTCATATTACCTGTAATGCAAAGTGAGACTAGTCTTGTGCGCGAATTGTTGTTTGCAAATCTCACAAAGATACTTTTTTTGACCCGTGTGAGTAGACTGATGGTTAATTAAGTTTGCCTTTGTCTTGAAGCTTGAGTTACAAAACTTACAAGCGTGTGGCCGATTATCCGAATGCACCAACTGATGTCGTTGAAGCAACTGTTTGTGCTTAAAACTTTTGTTGCATTTGTTGCAGACGAAACGGCGCCCATTGTTGTGTTCAGCTTCCTTGTGATACAAGACGGAACTTGGGTGATTTAGGACTTTACCGCAGATATCGCAAACATAATCCTTATCCGGTTTATTTTTCTGTAACATTATATAAAGATTTAAAAAGCTCTAGAAATATTATGTGCAATTTAAAAAAAATTATAAAATTATGTAAAATATTTAAAAGTTAAAAATATTTCTTTAAAAAAATTTTGTAATTATTATAATGTGATAACTTTATAAAACACTATTGTTATTACTTATAAAACACAAACCCCGTTGTGAGTTGTCGTATGTGTTTTCAAATCCGTTTGATTTGCGAAATTCTTATCACAAATATTACAAGTAAATTCTTGCTGCTCGTGCACTACTCTCATGTGCAATTCGTACTCCTGTTTCATTTCAAATTGCTTGTCACATCTTTTGCATATATAAATAGTATTTCTGGAATCTTCTGTTACGTCTAATTTTATTGTGGAAATGTTCTGCTCTGTGCTATGCGTCTCATGCGATTCCTGTGTCTCAACATTTTCTTCAGAAGAATTTGAATTATGTTGAGTTATCTTTTGGTGCAATGCCAGATTATCTTTACTGTCAAATAGCTTCTTACATTGTATACACTCGTGCTTAATACCCTTGTGGAAACTCCTAAAGCAGTTAAGTTAAAGTAAAAACTTTTTGTTAAAAAACTGAATATATAGCTAAAAATATTTTAATATTTTTAATAAACAATTTTAAGAACTTGCAAATATGTAAACATTTACATACTTGTAACGTACAATTTATATGTATAACATTCAAAATTATATAATAAAATATAAGAGAAAGGAAGCAGTCTAAAAATAGCCTATTTTGATCATAAATAGACATCTTTGAAACCTATGCAATTATTATCTTGAAAGTCGATTAATTTATAAAGGAAAGCTTGGAAAATCTTCCAAAAGTAATAAAGTAGATTGTTTGAACGCTTTATAAAAAAATTATTCATTTTGTTTCTAATGAATGATAGATTTCGAAATTAATGGTGCATTTAGTTTTAATACATGTTGGACCATTAAATACTGTAAGAATATAGTATCAGAGAGATCCACAAATGGACAAGATGTTCTACCCAAAGCAAAACCGAAATATATATCGAAAACTAAACTCGGTAGACAAAAATGGATAAATATACTGAATAAGGGACTCCCGTCTATGACCTTGACCTTGAAATATATTGTCAAGTTCATGACCCTGAATAACCTCCAACAGGTTTTAGACGTCGCTCGTCAGAACAATTCTTTAATTATTTTGAGTCATATTACATAAAAAATTAATTTGCCAGATAGCAAAGCGTATCTCAGCAAAATCGCACAAATCCGTGATTGCTTATGATGCTGGCAACTTGCTATAGATTTGTCTTCAACGATTTCAAATATATCGACATTGCAACAACATGCAGATAACAATGGCTGCATTCAACAGAATACAACAGTTTTATGATTCTCTGCTGAGATTGGACCATTTCTTTTGATCTAAAAGCATAACCCAATCAGCGCAAAGAAAATTTCCAACAGTTGCAAAATAAACGTTCTGCTGAACGCAGCCAATGTGTACATGTATTGCCAGCAGTTTAGCAGCAAGATAGCTGTGTAAATGTTATCTTGCGTTGTCGGCAATATGACAGCATTGTATGATACTGCATATTATTATGGTAACATGATGGTAATAATACGAATTTTGATGATTTTAAAGTTGTCAACAAATCGCTAGTTTATTATATCGTGAAGGTATCAAGTTGCCAATAAATGGGGAGGACTCAGTTGCTGCAATTCTGGTAGCAACGCATACTTAGCAATGCATAGTTAGCAAGCAACATGCCCAGCAACAAGGTAGACACGTTGCTATCTGGGTATCTTTAGTCCAACGTGTTAAATGTGAACACACCATTAACTTTGAAATCTATCTTTCATTAGACACAAAATAATTTTTTTTGCAAAATGTTCAAACAATTTACTTTATTATTTTTGGAAGGTTTTCCAAGCTTTCCTGGCTAAAATAAGTTTTCTTTCATGAATGTATGGATTTTCAAGACAACTGTATAGATTTCAAAAGTGTCTATTCACGGCCGAAATTGGCCATTTTTAAATTCCGCCTTTTAATTTGCAGAAAAAGAATTTAATGTTCAAGCAGTCAAGATCTTTGTACATAATCCGTGCGTATGAAATATTACTTATGTACTATGTATCTGCTACGTTGTAGGAAACCCCTGCCGCAGAGTTGACATGTAAACTTATTTTTTCTACGACGCAATTTTGATTTCGATCGTATTCGTCCACGGTTCATAATTACTACCTCACCCAAGTCTGTACCCTCTTCTGTTTCAAGATGACCTATTACTTCTGAAAAATGTAATATGCATAAATTCAAAAGAATTTCTTTTTTAAATTTCTTCTTTGACATTTCATTATGTATACCTTCGTTATGTATACCCTCTTGACCATCCTGATTAATTTTTAACAAATCTTTCGGATCGTCTATCATTTCAGAATCATCATCTTCATCATCAATCACACCTTCTTCCTTGAATATCCTTTCCAATTCTTTTCCCTGCACTGCTTCTAAAAATCTGCGTAAATTTACTTATTATATTAATCATTAATATTAATCATTAATAATCATGTAAATTATAAGTTATAATTTACATGATTATTAGTAGATTATAATTTACAAGTTTCATAATTTTCAATTTAACATACCTTTTGGGAACTTTGCGCTTTCTTCTGCGTCTACCATCACCATCCAGTTCTTCTTCTTCTTCCTGCTTATCCTCTTCACCTTGACTCATAGCTTCTGCAGGACTTTCTTTTGTTGCCTTATGTAAAATAGGTAGGAGTATATACAATATATGAGTATTATAATATAGGAAATATTAACAATTAGAATTTATTGTTACAAACCATTGAATCTATATCTGTGTGGATTTTAGGTGGACGTCCGCGTTTCCTTCTTGGTTTAGTCAAACCTTCCATTTGCAAACTCATTTCATGTTCCGCTGTGTACATAGATCCATCTGGCAGAACTAAGAGAGAAGAGAGGGGAAAAAATAACAAAATATTACAGATATTTGTGCAGTTGTATGTAGTTTTAACTGCACAAACTGCACACAAGATGTCTATAAAGTTTTGGAATCGATTTTTTATCAACTTTGTAGTACTGCATTTTCTTATTTTTACCAACATACGGTGTTAAAAAATTCTGAAAAAATTCTGAAAAAATTCTCAGAAGTTTATAAGAAAAAAATAAATAATTTTTGTCTCTTGCAGTTTTTCTGTAAAGTTGATAATATTTGAGTAAAAAATTATT